CCCCACCACCATTCTGCAAATTTATAGTTGTAGGGGAAACACTACATTTCATAAAGAACATTTTGTTATCTTTTGCTTCAAAAAAGTTGTTTTTTGCTGCATTTAATTATAATGACAAATTGTAAATCCATTTTTTATTGAATAATCAAGATTCTTGAGGACTTCTGAGGTGGTCTTTCTTTAAGATCAATAAGTTCTTAAAAAAACAAAACAACTGAAGAACACCAATGGTTTGTGATGTCACAAACCAGTTTTAATTTGCCATCTTGGTTTATTTCATCAACATAAAACCATATGTTTGTATAGCAACACGTACTTTCTGACATTAATATCAGTGTAAGACATTCAGAGCTTTCTACATCTGACAGATGATGTGAGCGTTCAGAGAGCAGTCATGTGTCACTCTCCAGATCCCCCTCTCAGACACCATGGTGCAGCCTGTATCCTGGATGTTTCCATCAGGTTCTCCTTCTCCCCAGTTGGTAAAGGTCAGAGGTCGATTCTTCATGTCAGACCCAAAGTTGCCCTCTGCTTTCTTATTGTTGACATTGATCCAGGCTGTGTTTTCAGCCTGACCAATCAGCTGAGTCAGAATGTTGTTCTCCTGGTCACTCTGAGGCAGAGCCAGCTCCAAGGCTTGTTGGGAGCAGAACTCTGCAGCTTTTGAAAAAGAGCCTCTTTCCTTGTTGGACACAAAGTATTTCTCACCCACCTTCCGCATAAAGTCAAAGCTTGCAGCTGAAAGAGAAAAGAACAGAAGTGTGCTGCTAATAAGTAATTATCCAATAAACACACCWGWTTTTCATATTTTTGTTCTGAACACATGAGATGATCATTTGAAAGGATCAGGTTGAAGCTCACATCCTCCAACCGGGCTTTTTGGGTTTCCTTTCTTTGACAGTCCCCCAATTACCATGCAGTTACCTAGTAAGTAACAGTATTTTACTATGTAATTACTTGTACTTGGTTAAAACATATAAAAATAGTATGTGTAGGGGTCATCTTGAGGGAAATAATCAAGGAAACGGTCTTGGACCTCAGAATTCTGATGGGCCTTTAAAGGGACAAAAACTGTTCCACTAAGAACTGAATTTAGGCCGTGACCGGTCGTCTTAAACATAAAAGAGACATTCTCTTTTTCTTAATCAGATAATAAACAGAATAATCTTGATTTGATTTGATTTTGATTTATTTATTTAACAGGAAAAGATTACTAAAACTCAAGCCTGACTCAGCATAATTGCTGTTTTACAGCAGGTTCCTGTTCTGCAGCACATAAAACACTCAGAATTACAG